GTGTGATTTAAAATAGATGCTTGTTAAAGATCAGATGATTTATTTTTAGTCACTCTCTATAAAGAAATAGGACTAAAAAATAAGAGTTAAAAACAAGAAGGTTTAAGGAAAACTTTGCACAGCTGGCAACATGTGCAGACCTATGAACATAAGAGCGTTTGAGCTAAGTAGGTAAACACAAAGGCAACTAACAATCCTCTTACATGAGCTGTAAGATCACTTACAGCTCATGTAAGAGGTGACAAGGAAAGGACTTGATGGTGCTAGAATGATAGAGCCAACTGGATTCTCCACAGGGACATCTGAGCAAGAAAGAGGGGAAACTCGGACTGACCAGAAGTCTCAGGGACACTCAGGGATACTGGAAAGGAAAGAGCTGCTGTGGGTGGGTATTAATAATGATAATAATAATAAAAATAAACATCTGACTAGAGGGGTGCTTGCTTTACAGCAGCACAGTAAAGCGCTTCTGCTGTGACAGTAGCAACATCCTGATTAAACACATCAATACATCCATTACAAAGATTACATAGAACTCTTCCTCCAGACATGAGATGGGAAACAGCTGACCACACCATAAATGCTGACTGGAAACTATCTCTGTCCACACACACACACACACACACACACACACACACACACACACACGCATGCATGCACGCACGCACGCACGCACGCAGGTATAGATCTGTTACCTTCAGGAAGATGCTGTCACCATCAAAGACTAACAGCACACATCAAAGGTTTTCGAAAGTGTGTAGAAGTGAGCGTGTGTAGAAAAAAAGTAAGAAACAAGGAGAGGCAGAGAACGAGAGTGTGTGTGTGTGTGTGCACTCATGCTTGTTTGTGTACTGATGTGTGTGTGAACTGTAGAGCATGAGCGTAAATCGGCAAATGCTGAGGTTTTAACGAGTCGCCTAATCACCCAAACACCTCCTGCTGACATTTACAGTCCTTGCCGATGGGGTGGCGTGACCACACACACACACACACACACACGCTCACACGCACACATTTTCAGTCTCTAAACGGGACAAACAACTTGCTTTCTTCTCTAGTTGAAGGACACGGTGACCACACAACCACGGTGTGTCTTCCTCTCGCTCATGCGGACACACATTTTCTTCTTCTGCCTTCTTTTATTTATAATGTCGCATTAACTGCAGACTCTGCTCACGCGTAAACACAAATGTGCGCACACAGCGATGCAATGGCAAAACTGAATGTGCATGTCTGCTGATTCACATGTGCCGTATACTTCCATCAGAGCTCCGCAGGGATATCAGCAGGGGGTGTGTGTGGTCAGTAAATACTCAGGGAAGGTTACGAATGACACACACACAGTCTCTGTTCTATGTCATCAGTCTCTCACATCAGTCAACTTGGCCTCTCAAACTTTTTTTTTTTGTCACAGCAAATGACACCAGCTCTTGGAGAAATAAACAACGCTGCGCACTGACACAACTTAACACACACCACAAGGCCTGCTTACCTCACACACACATAAATAAACACCCAGAAAACAGCTTGACTTTAAACAGGATTTTTAAAGACCCACTATATTACCATTAGATGACTTTTTAAAGGGTAATTACGACCTTTTTTTCTACTATGATCTATTACTGTTACTTGTTAAGAAGGCATTGTGGCAAATGTTTATGCTTAAAAATAAAGCGGTTTCCTTCTATAACTTCTATCCAGCACCCAACAGAGGTCAGTGATCACAACCAGAGTTCAACCAAAACAACTACACACTTTAAACATACTGAAAAAGATCTGAATTGATATTTAGAGGCCAGCTGTAAACCTTCAAGGGCATATTTGTCCTTAACACCTGCTGATCCTGACACACACTAATCCACACACTTCCCCCCAAAGTCACACAGTGTCACACACGGAAAACACAAAACCTAAGTGACAACTTTGCAGCCCGGTGTTGTGGTTGCTGAGGGGAAATTGTGCCATCTGCCATTAAACAACACTCATTTTACCCCTACTGCTCGTCCATCTGTGGATGTGGGGAACTCTCCTGGAGGCCAGAGGGCCACGGGGGAGACAAGACGCAGGCCAGAGACGCCTACGAGGAGCAATCCCAACTGGACAGCAATGAATTGTCAACACTTGAGATTCTTACTTTTTTAAAAATCAATTTGAACCTGAAATTTGGGGATTTTTAATAGTTTCACATAAAATAAAAATGTAGCTTCAACCCTCGAATGCAGAGTAGTCCTCTTAGCCAAAGTAAGGGTGTGTCTGATATTCCCTTGTTGGTATTTCTGCATCTTCATAGTAATGTTGGTCTGGGATCAACATTCAAATAGACCAATCACGTTGTTGTAATGGAAAAAACGGGAAAACTGTTTTTTTTTTAAATATTAAAGTCTATTCTTGAACCAATGATAAGCATTTTAAGTGTATTCTTTATTAATTTACACAACACAATAAACATGTTGTCAAGTTAGCTTGATAACTGTCGGTGTGCTAGTGTTTGTTTTAGCATTAGCATTAGCCAATTTCTTGGCTAATGCTAACTCAATGCTCAGATAATGTCATTGATCACTTTTAAGATGATGTGTGAACAAAACCAACCTGTATTTACTACTATTTCTGCTATGACTGAAAGAAAAACAGCTAACAGCACTTCCATGACAACCCCCCCCCCCCCCCCAAAC